CATTGATCCTCATATGTCCTTAAGTGGTGAGTTAGCCTTTTCACCCGCTTTGCAGGTGAGGAGCTGAGCAGAGAGGATCTCCCAGGATCAGCCAGTAAGAGGCACAGCCTGGATGTGACCCAGGCAGCCCAGCCCCAGAAATCACATTGGAACTCACACACTCTGTGCCTCGCAAAGATTTGTAAACTCTTCAATTCAACAATGAGTAACTGTTTCAAGACATGAATAATCCCCCAAATTTCCTCCATGTCTCTCAAATCCAGTGGCCTGAGCTGTAGGCAGAGATTCAAGGCCAATGTCACTACCTACTGCTGGGCCACAGGGTGATTGAGGGGGACCTGCCAGGGCCTGGAGCCTGGGACAGGACACGAGGCCAAAAGTGAGCCACCAAGGGGCCTGCATGTCTTGCTCACGTCTCCCTCCGCCTTCTCTGTCCTAGCTAAGCCCACAGTGACCGTGTATCCTGCAAAGACCCAGCACCTGCAGCACCACAGCCTCCTGGTCTGCTCCATGAATGGCTTCTATCCGGGCCCCATTGAGGTCCGCTGGCTGCGCAACGGCCAGGAAGAGGAGGCCGGGGTGATGTCCACGGGCCTGATCCGGAACGGGGACTGGACCTTCCAGACCCTGGTGATGCTGGAGACAGTTCCCCGGAGCGGGGAGGTCTACACCTGCCAAGTGCGGCACCCCAGCAGCACCAGCCCTGTCACCGTGGAATGGAGTGAGACGCCCTCTGACCTCACACACCTTCCCCCCACAGGGGCCTTTGCTTGTCCCTGAGGGTCAGGGTCCCCTCTCCCCACACCCCGTTTTCCTTTGCTCTGTCTCTCCTTCTGCACAGGCCACAGGGTAGCCCTGTGATTGCTTCTGTGAACACCCATAGCCCTGTGAGGCCGCCATGCCTGCCCTGCTTTGAATTTCCCACACTCTCCCCGTCATGGTGCCCCTTGGCCCTGGGCACCATCCCCTGTGGGCTGGGCGGGTGCTTCTGCCTGTGCTGAGCTGCCCACTGTGATCTGGGAAGAGGAGTGTCCTCTGCCGCGGGAGAGCCCCATCTGCTCTGCTGTCTGCGGCTCTGTCACCCGGGCCAAGTCCTGGAGGTCACCAGCCCTGGGCTCCGCAGCCTCAGAGGCCAAAGCAGCGGCCTTGGGTCGGGTGTGAGGGGACCTGAGGCCAGTGCCTGGGCCTTGTACCTCCTCAGTGTGACCTCCGTCATTTCCCGCAGATGGCTATTGTTCTGCTTCTTCTAGGGCAACACCCCTCCCCCACCCTCTTTCCCACCCCTCAAGCTCTCAATCTCAGGGTCTCCAGTACAGAAGTTGGTTTGGCTAAAACCCACTGAAAGCAGCTTCTTCTCTCAGGGGCCCAGTCTGGATCCACACAGAGCAAGGTGCTGAGTGGAGCTGGGGGCTTCCTGCTGGGGCTGCTCTTCCTCGGGACGGGGCTGCTCATCTACTTCAGGGCTCAGAAAGGTAAGGGGCCTGCTGGCAGCCTTGGCCCCAATTCGGTGGGGACAACTGGGGCTTTGCTGGGTGAACTCTGGGTATGGCAACTCCATAGAAGCCTCTCTTTCCCTGTCGGTCTCACGTTCCCTGGAAATGCAGAAATAACCAGCTCCCGGTTCTTAGGGTGGAGACATGAGGAGTCATGGCTGTGGGGATAGAGAGGGGTTAACACTCACGGGGATTTGGGTGCAGATCCTGGGGTACATGGAGGAGCAGGCCCTGTGGTCACTAAATACACTGGACTGTGATGGCTTCGGGGCTACTGCTCTCAGCTTCTGCTCTCGTCCCAGTTCTGGTGTCAGCGGGTGGGGGTGCTGCTACAGAAGCTCAGGTGGCCTGGGCGGGGACCCTGTGTTTCGGGACACACTTACCTTCATATCTTTAACTGGCATCTTCCTTCTCTTCCCAGGAAACGCTGGACTTCAGCCCACAGGTAACGCTCTTTAATCCTCTCTTAGGGACGCATTCGGTTTCCCTAGAACAGAAGGTGCGGGGGACGAGCCAGGGGACAGACAGCGGGGAGCTTGGGTGTGGCTTTGGTGGCCGCTTACACTGCAGGGTCTCCTCCTGCCTGGTGAGAGGCAGCTCTAAAGCAGCTGTGGCTCCTGTGGCCTCAGAGCTTTTCTTCTCACTTGGGAGCCACAGCAGGAGGCTTGGGAAGGCAGCGCCCCTGCTGACTGGGCTTGAGAACAGCACTGTCCTCTGTCTGCAGGACTTCTGAGCTGAGGTGGCCATGGGGACACGGGCAGGAGAGAACCTTCTCTCTGGCCCCTTGGCAGCCTGAAGAGGTTTCCTGCTGGGCTCTCACTCCCCAAGGAGAGCCGCCTCAGGCTCTGGCTGGGTCCTGGCTCCTGACCCCCCAGCAGCTCCTCCCTGCTGGTTCCTGCCCGCCCTGGACCTGGAGGCCCCAGTGTTGACTGTAGAACCTTAGCTCCATCCCTCCCTGTCCCTGTGTGTTTAACCCTCGCTGTCTGCTGTGCACCTTAGCTCACTTCTGTCCACATTTTTTTGTAAAAATTTTCCTCAATTAAATATGGAGTGAGATCATCTCCCTCACAGGCTTCAAGGGCAGGAAGTAGGAAGAAAAGCTTTCCTTGTTCCCGTCCTGCTTTTTCATGAGTTTTCCCTCCTGTGTTTCCTTTCTCACCCGGTTCCTGAGGCAGAAGAGAGCCTGCCATGGACTTGAACATGGTGGTCTCCTACGTTGGTGTTTCTCAGACAAGCACACAGGTTCCTTTCCCCTGGGATACAGAGGGGACAGCAAGTGTAAGAAACGCAGGCTGGCCCTGCTGGTGTGGTCAGTGGTCGAGTGTCAACCTATGAACCAGGAGGTCACCATTCAATTCCGGGTCAGGGCACATGCCTGGGTTTCTGGCTCAATCCCCAGTGGAGGGTGTGCAGATGGCATCTGATCAATGATTCTCTCTCATCATTGATGTTTATAAAGTGTGTCCCAAAATTCACTCAAGATTTTTAATTTTAAGCCAGGGTACTTTTTGCCTGAATTTTGGGACACTGTTTATCTCTCTGTCCCACTCCCTTCCTCTCTGAAATCAATAAAAAATATTTCTTTTTTAGAACGAAAGGAAAAGCAGGCCACTTGTAAGGATATGTCTTCACTGTTTCTATAATCATGTTCGTTTCACTCTTTGGCTCTAATTTTTTAAAAGAAGGTACCTAAACCTGGTGCCTCTTGAAGTCCCCTTTATTTGACTAATGGTGGCTTCCACACTGCAGTCTTTTTGTGACTCAGATAAAATGCCTGCTGTGCTGACTCTGCCTTGAGATGCACCTCCCCCATGAGCAGGTCCCAGAGACCATCAGGACAGAGCTGCCACTCTAGTGGGAAAGGTGCGCTTCTGAGGCCTCCAGCTTGTGTGGCAAACTCACTGTCTGTCACGGGAAACCCTGTGTGGACCTTATCTGAGCATCACCCAGGGCCACTGCTGGGCACCCAGGGGAGCGTGTGGCTCCCTGATGTGCCTCCAGCGTGCAATCCTCTGCCCTGGAGGGAACGTGAGAGACTCCTGTGGGGTGACCTCCCAATGCGTGTGAGCATGGAGCAGCAGAGTTTTATGCAGCGTTTTATTTAATAAGATAGATGAGAGAAAGGACATATAGATAAACCTGTTCATTTCATCTGCCTATTTATTTTCTACCTACCAGTCATCTATCTATAGAAACAAGGAATGGATTTTTTAAGTGGTTGTCTGCAGGGCAAAATGACAGAATAGGTTGAAGGAATCTGTACTTTTCTGAATATACATCTTACTTAATAGTTTTAACTTGAGGAACATTCAAATATTTTATGTAATAATTTAATTCAAAAGTTTTAAAAGGCAATACATAAAAACAAAATAACAACAAACTATAGCAATAGAAACAAACTGACGAGAAGTAGATGATGGGAAACAGCTAAAACAGTAATTCCATCAGGGGTTCCCAGTCCAAGACGACAGTGCAGGAAAGGCCTGAGCTCACCTCTCCCCATTGCATGTTAAATTTCCACCTGCAGACAGAGCAGCTCCCCCTGGAGAGGAAATGAGGGCTGACTGAACAACTTCTGCTCGACCAACAAGAGAGAAACCCCATAGACACAGCGGGGAGAGACAGAGACATGGCACCATGGCAACCCCATCCCAGCACTGACCTGCAGTGGGCAGGGGTCCCTGAGGGTGTATGTGCAGACTCGCCCACTGTGGGTAAAGTGAAAAACAGTGGCTGAAAGGGCACCTAGACTATAAGGAGGGAAATCCATTTACTAACTGAGAACATTTGCAAGTGGGAGGGGAACTGCAGGAACCAAGTGTGGTGTCAGGGGCATTGTACAGAGCCAGTCATTCATTGACACTCTCCCTCCCCTTAGGTCTCATGGGAAGGACATAATTCAGGTGCTTCAGCCTCCCAAACTTGGTGGTCAGGGTGCAAACAAGGCACAGTCCCCAGGCCCCAGGCCCATACCAGCTCTGTGGCTTGTCCCCAGGACTTCCACTCCCACTCCAGCTCCAGCTCAGGGCCCCTTCCTCTCAGGGCTCCTCATGGCCCACTCCCACTGCAGCTTCAGCTCAGGGCCCATTACCCCCAGCGCTCCCCCTGGCCCATTCCCACTCCAGCTCTGGCTTGCCTGCTAAAGACACCTGGCTCACACAGTCTACAGAGGAGAGGCTCCTAAACAAGTCTCTACTTCAAGGTTGGGAGAGGTCGCTGTTTCACCTAATTCATAGAAACAAACACAGAGAGCCACAATGAGAGACAGAGAAATGTACTCCAAAGAAAAGATCAGGAAACATAAACAAACAGATGAGAACTACTAGTAAATGAATAAGACATAAGCAATTTACCCGATAAAGAGTCAAAAGTAAACACTAGTTCTAAGTATGCACAATGAACTCAGGAGAAGAACAGATGAATTCAGTGAGAACTTCAACAAAAACATAGAAAAATATGTAAAACAACCAATCAGAACTGAGGAATATGATAATTGAAATGAAAATAAAAATACTCCAGAGGGAACAACAGCAGATTAGTTGAGGCAGGAGAATGAGTCAGCAAGCTGAAAGACAAGGTAGTGAAAGTCAATAAGAACAGCAAAAAGAAAAAAAAATATTATTATCACAAATGAGGTTAGTTTAAGGGACCTGTGGGGCAACATAAAGTGTGTCAACATTTAAATCATTGGATTCCCAGAAGGAGAAGAGAGAGAGAAAGGGATGTAAAATCTATTTAAAGGGATAATGACTGAAAACTTCCCCAACCTGGTGAGGAAAACAGACATCCAAATTCAGAAAGCACAGAGGCTTCTGAACAACATGAACCCAAAGAGGCCCATATCAAGACACATCATATTTAAAATGCCAAAAGTTAAAGGATCTTAATGGCAGCAAGAGAAAAACAGTTAGCTATGTACATGGGATCCTTCATAAGATCATCAGCTGATTTTTCAGCAGATACGGTAATAGCACAAAATATTCAAAGTGATGAAAGGCAGAAACCTACAACCAAGTACATCCTATCCAGAAAAGTTAGCATCAGAATTAAAGTAGTGATAAAGAGTTTCCAAGACGGGCAAATGATGAAAGAGTTATCACCACTAAACAACCATTAAAAGAAAAGCTAAG